GAATTATTGAACTTAAACGAAATTGCCAAATTATTTTACTTCACTTATTTTTAATGTAGTAAATATTTTTGTATATCCCTTTAAAAAGCCACATTTCTCTTCTTTGCGCAACGACGAAAACAGAGTATTCGAAAAAATTCTCTGTACAAATATCTTTTATATATAAAATTTACTTAATATTTATTCTTACGATCTTTTGTTATCATAAATATTTTTTAATTCACACAAATATCAGTTGTATGTTACCGTTGTTCTACTAGCTTTCACATATCAGGTTTACTGCTTAAGTCTTTAGTTTAGCTGTGCCTTTTATGTTGTATTCCTCTGTAACACATTTTTAATCAACCCAATTTGAATATGATTAACATATTTTTCTCTTTGCAATAAAAATATGATAAATTAGTCGCTTAACAAATCTGTGGCATAGATTCTCTGGCATTTGCATTCGATGAAACAAATTAAGCAGATAGAGCTAAAATGTTAATAGGTTTGAGAAGAAAGTTTGAAAGCGAAATATTTAGTCACAATAAAATAAAATCATAAAGAATAAAACAAAGTAAACAAATTAAATAAAATAATTTATTTTTTTAATGTAATTAAATCAAATTTATATCAATAAAATTATGCAAAACAAAATGAAAAAAAAATTTAATTTAACTATTTCAAAATAAAACTAAAATAGTTTAAAAGAAATTAAACAGGATGACATAAAAAATAAAATAAAATCAGTCCCGACTACTTGGCTGCGAATGATGTGTCATAGGTAGGAACAGAGAGTAATCATTTAGGGCGAGATCCGGACGATATGGTGGATGTACAAGAACCTCCGTGGTGAAGAATGGCCTTCAAGAGAAGCCTATGAAATGCGATTGCTTTCGGTTTTTGCCAATTTGGACATGGAATTTCAAAATGGCCAAAAGCTATCGAAAAAAATTGTGCATATTCAATATACAAAAATGGCATAATTCTGATTATTGTAAATAAAACCCTCAATTTAAAGCCAAAATAATGAATTTTACTAGACCTAATACTAAATAACACAAAAAAAAATATAAAAATAAAATAAAAACGCACAAATAAAATAAAGTAATATAAAATAAATAATAATAAATAAAAGAAAATAACACAAATAAATAAAACAAAAAAATAAATATATATTAATGTAAAATAAATTGAATAAATTATAATAATATAAATTAAAATTACATAAATTCAAATAATAATAAAAATTTAAATTAAAATAAAATAAAATTAACTAAATAAAATTAAAATAAAAGATAAAATTAAATTAACATAATCGTAATTAAATTAAATAAAGAGAAATAAAATTAAATAAATAAAGTAACATACAAAAAAGAAAAATAAATAAGAATGTAAAAGAAAAGAAAAGAAAAACAAAGTAAAAATTATAAATAAAATAAGTAAAATAAAAAAAAAATACTAAAATTTAAGACAATAAAAAATAAAATGAGTGAATAAACTAAAGTAAAATAAATTGAAATAAAATATTACAAAAAATATTTAAAATAAATGAAAAAAATAAAATGAAGTAAAATAAAACAAACCGAACTGAATGAATTAAAGAGCACATAAAAAATTAATTAAAAATAAAAAAATTAAATTAAAATTAAAAATTAAATTAAATGAAGAGAGAGAAAATAAAATAAATAAAGTAGATTATAATAAAATGAATATAAAAGTAAGCAAAATTTAAAAAAAAAAATAAAATAAAACAAGTAAATAAGTAAAATAAAAAAAAACAAAAACTCAACACAATAAAATATAAAATGAGTGAATATAATAAAATACAATAAAATTAAAACAAAAAATATTTAAAAAGCACACAAAAAAAATTATATAAATTTAAAAAATAAATAGATAAAATATAATAAAATAAAATAAATTAATATTAATATTAAAATAACAATATAACATAGTATAAAATAAAATGATATTAATTAAAACTAATTAATGTCCAAAAAATCAAAATTAAATTATATTTACTTTTACATATTTACTCTGAACCGCTTGGTATACAACTAAGTTAAAAAAAAGCTTCCCGACTACTAAAGTTCATAGATTCATTTATGTATAACTCGATGAGCAGGATCGCCAATTAATAAACTTTAATTTTTAAAATAAAATTCATAATAATTCAGAAAAGGAAATTTTTGAAGTCGAAAATTAAGAAACATAAAATTTAAAAAAATTAGAAATAGCAAATTATTCAAACCGGAACTAACTACTACTATAACAGAAGTCACTTGTTTCTAATAAGTTAACCCAACCTATCACAATATATTCGGACACACGATCAGAGCTCGGCAAAATATCTGCTAAGGCTAAGGCTTCGTCAGAAGGGCCAACATTAATGGCAGAGCGATGAAGTGACAAGACAAATTTGGTCATTAATTGAGATAGACAGAACTAAATCTCTGCTGCCTCTAAACCCGACCTCCTTAAGCATAGCAACCGGCGTAACAACCGCGCACTGTCCCATGGGGACTCATGGCAGACGGATGTGCAAAAATCAAACAAAAATCTCTTACATTGCGGTAAATCAAAGAAATTATACAAACCTATTTACAACTCACAAAATCTCAATGGAAAATATTTATGTCAAGCAATAAATTTAATTTACACTTCAGGCCTTTAATATGTCATATTTTCTTGAAAAAATATAATAAAAGAAGAGTGAAAAAATTATTATGTTTGTAGGCATTTGTAAACAGAAATTATAAGTGGGCAAATGAAAACTTAAATAAATAAATAATAAAAAATAAGGAAAAAAAGTAAGCTAAAAAAAGCAAACAAAATACCAAAAAAATTGCTAAAATATATAAAAAGGCAAATAGTTGAATCAAGTACATATGCACGCGTAAAATGTGTATAAATACATACACATGTGTGTGAATGATTTTGATGACTGTGATTTTTTTGGTATCCAACTAGCTGTGCACGTCCATTTATATAAATACGAGTCTATGTTAACCTATTGAACCAAATGCTGAGTTAATAAGCATATAAGTCTAAGCAAAATTACATGTATACATATATATATAATACTACTTAAAATATATACCCAAAAGCACAATTTACATACGTACACGTCGGCTAATTTGCAGCATTTAGGCCGCACGCATGACTGGTCCTCAGCGACATACATACTAAAATACACATACAAACATGTATTGGACTAAGATAACGCATTGTGTAATGAAACCAATAGATGAAATATCTATAAAAAGATTTGCTGTGTTTAAGGAAAAATGAAAAATTTTCTTTGTAAAACCGAAGAAAACCATCGATGGCAAATTTCCAATATTTTAAGTGCCATTTTGAGAGCCAGCTCATGGTTCCATCTACTAGCTAGCAATGCATCATATGCCATGATATCGTTAGCTTTTTCATCACTGACTGTTCATTGTGCCTCGGTGGATCCTATGAGTGTGCATAAAAACTTCACACATCTAACGAACTTGTCCGTTTGTTTAGCTGCTTTTTCCACTTCTCCTTTCATCCGACGATGCAAAAGATATTTGTGCGATTTGCGACTACAAAGCACTAACAGTACTTTAATTCGCTGTATTATTATTACATTTGTATATATGTATGTACATACATATGTGTAGTTGTCTGTGGAAAAAATTATGCTATGTGTTGTTGTTGGTGGCTGTGGCCTGTTTACGACGCGTTAATTTGCCGCAAAAACTCAATTTGAAATTTTATTTCTACATTTCTTTATGTGACCGTCACTTTTGCTGTTACTAACTATTATTATACATCAAAGCAACTACTTTGACGAGACGCTTTATAGACATAATATGTATGTATGTATGTATGTATTTGTGTATTTATGTATACTTAAGCATAGCGGAATTTGCTGTTTAATTTTTTAATTGTTGTATACATTTCTTGTGTGCTCTATGGACAAAAAAAAAAAACAAAAAAAAAACAAAAAAAAATGATGTTTATGCTCTAATTACATTACACTTGTGCAGTTAACTGTATTATTCTGGGTTTAAATTTATGCTTCGTTTTCGTAGTGTTTATGGCATTTTCGTCTATTCAAGGTGCGAATTCGCTGCATGTGGCTTAGGTCGCTTGAAGTCACGTTACTTTTTAGTTAATAAATTTTGTTGGTTTAGTGTGATGTGATGTTAAGGCTTTTTGTTTTCTTCTTTATTCAAGTTTTAAGATTTGTATGTTTAGCTGGGAAATGCTGAAAAGCAGGTGTAGAAGAGAAGTGCTGATTTGTGGTGAATTTAAGAAGGTTCAGTTTTCATTTTATTTTATTTTTTTATTTTTTTTCATTTTATTTTACGTTCGTTTTAGTTAAACTTAATTACATTTTTTTTGAGTTTAATTCATTTCATTTTAGTTCAAATTCATTCAATTCAATTTACTTTATTTTATATTTTTTATTTATTACCATTTAATTTCCTTATATTTGTATTGTTTAAATGTATGATATTTTATATCGTTTCCTGTTTTTATTTTTAATTCATGTTTTCCAATTAATTATACACAACTTTTACTTTATGTTATTATAATTTATTTTAATTAATTATATAAAATTTTTATTTTATTTTATATAACTTTGGCTTTTTTCACTAGATTTTATTTTATTTCATTTACATTATTTCACTTTTTTATTTTATTTTACATTTTTGTTCTTTTATCATATATTATTTTTACTATATTTTTCTTCATTTATTTTACTTTGCTTCCAATTTTAATTAATTTTTTTATTTCATTTTAGTTTTTCATTTTACTACAATTTAGGTATTTTTTTTGTTTAAATTAATTAATTATTAATTTTGGTTTATTTTAATTCATTTCACTTTATTTTATTTTATTTTATTTTATTTATTTTACTGTATTTTATTTTATTTTATTTTATTTTATTTTATTTTATTTTATTTTATTTTATTTTATTTTATTTTATTTTATTTTATTTTATTTTATTTTTCCTTTTTATTTAGGATATTATTATTTCGAAAAGTTATCATAGAACAAGATATAGGAATATTATATTACTTTTTCAAAAACTGCAAAAAAAATCAGTTTGCACGAAATCTGCGTTTATAGCTGCTTGGCAATCGTGCCTTGCTTACTTCCTCATTTAAAAAATTAACTAACAGTTCATGTTGAAAACAATTGCCGTTAATTCTATAATTTTCCAAATTAATCTGAATTTTCGCAATTTCTATGGCCTATTAAGAACAATTTTCGAAAATTGCATTTCCAACACGCAAAAGAATAAGAGCTGAGTATAAAAACTGAAATCCGGTTGCATTTCCCATGCAGTACTACCGAACTCATACAACCGTTATAACACATAGAAAAACATTAATTGAAACGAACTACCAGGATTTTTAAAAAAATGTTCCGCTTAATTGTCGCATTGGCGCTTATCTTAAGCATTTACCATGCGCCCAGTGTACATGGTGCACCACATCCACCAACAACCGCAGCACCTTTGGTGGCCAATCAAGGCTCCTACGACACCAAATTCGACAACATTGATCTGGATGAGGTGTTGAGCCAAGAGCGTTTGCTACGTAATTACATTAAATGTTTGGAGAATCTTGGTCCTTGCACGCCGGACTCGAAAATGTTAAAGGGTATGTATCACATTATGAGTAATGAGTTTTTCGCTCATTTCCACACCTGTTCAATATACATTTATGAATTGTATTTCAAGGTTTCGCCCATTTCAGAGATACTCCCCGACGCAGTATCAACCGATTGCGCCAAATGCTCGGAGAAGCAGAAGCTTGGCTCAGCGAAGGTGACGCATTTCTTGATCGACAATCGTCCGGAGGATTGGGCACGCTTGGAGCAGATATACGATCCATCAGGCAATTACCGTTTAGCTTATTTAGCGGAGAAGGACAAAGGCAACAGCCAGAGCGACACTGGCGAGCAGACTCCTTCGGAAGCGGTTACTAAAACGAACGAAGCTTGACCTTTCGGATTATGACAAGTACAGGTTGCGGGCATGGAGTGCTATAGGACTTACTTGCTGGACATCGCATTTGTTTATTTAATTATATTAAACACAATTTTAATTTTATCAAGTGTATATTATTTTATTTGTGCATTCCGAAAATTACAAAAAAAAAAAATATAAAAGTGAAAAAATTTGCGAAAAAAAATACTGAGCACGGTATATATGTCACCGAAGGTGAATAATTAAAAATTGTTCCCTAATTATGTTGTACATTCGTTTTATTTATTATGGAGAAATAAAGAAGAGCTCAGCATACTTGTTCCTCACTATCTGGGTAGTCGTTAATTATTATTCCTCTTGTACGGATCTCAGTTCTGTTCACTTTGGCTGCAGTACTTTTCCATCGTGCAAGTTTCCTTATAACCTTACCGGGTTTTGAGCTTTCGGAACTTTAAATCTAATTTCGCATTGCCATTGCGAGTTTGTTCACAAGCGGACTTGAGGCCTAAAGAAAGCTACTGAGAGTCGCCCTAATGCATTTCCTTCTGGCAACCTATTAAAATTGAATAAAAATGGCTGATGAGATGAGTGCCAGAAACTATTGCACTGTGCTGGATTTCATACAACACTTTAAGCTTCCTGATTATTGCACGATTTGCCAGGCAAACGCTTACATTGACAGGATTTTACAGAGTATTACGTTATGAAACGACCTTGGAAGCAGTGAGTTGGGAATGCAACTGGAAATCTACGACACTCCAAGCCACAAAGGCATTGTGGTGAACGAAAAAGTTGAGGTAATTATGAAAGTGTCATACGTCGGATTGGATGCCTAAACTATATGTAAGTAAAGGAAGGCGGTAGTGAGTGAGACGTTGGAACACCTTTGCTATTTCTGTGTGGTCTAAGGCAACTAGCAGCTACGCAAATTCAGAGAACGGTATAGAAAGGCTCTCTTAAGCTTCGCAAAAAATATTGATTACCTACGCGACGACTCTTAACACGATTGAAATTGTGCCTGCACTATTACAAAGGACCAACAGATCTATGGGAGGCATACCAGTCAGCTGATATAACCTAAAACCATGCTGGAAACAACCATAGAGAGTTCAACTTTGCTGCTCTTAAAGAATATCATAGAATTTAGGTAGGTGATAATAGAGCTTCAAAGATCATTTAGCGCTGTAGCTGGAATTAATCTTCGGCGTCGACAAGACTAGTAATGTCACCTGACAGTCTATGTAAATGATTTTTCCCATTCTCTCCCCTAGCTATTCAATAGTGGACCTTCAAAGGCATTCACATGAAGATCCAGTCAAGTTAGGTGGGCGGAAAGAGAGAGAGAGTAATGGGTAGATCCCTGGAGTATGCTCCCCTTCCTCCCCCCGCTGCCATCAAGCTTACTCTGTACTTCATTTCAGACCATAGATTGAAATAATATCCTCCTTTCCTATGAAATCTTTAAGAGATTACAGTCTGATATATTTAAGGTTGTTATAAACTGGTTGAGGATATCGTTGTGACAAACGTGTGGTGCCTCACAAGCTGCTAAAACTAGGCGAACCCATTGATGCGAAACGTTATCGACTACAACTAACACGTTTTAGCCGTGTATTGTGTTAAAAACGGCCAGAAACGGCCGAAAACTACCTGGGAACGTTGAAGTGAAAGAGCTTACCCCACCCAGGGCCTCGCTACCAACCGACCACTGGTGCTTTCGAGGTATGCAAAACGATGAGGGGAAGTTCACTGGTTCGGGTCTCTTGAAGAAATCGTAAAATGGCTCAATGATTAAATCGTGGAGAGAGAGCTCATTTTTTAGAGAGGGTGCTCGAATATTAGCAGAGTGGCGAAGAAAAGTAGTCGCTGCTGTCGGACAATATCTTAAATAATGTATTTTTTTACTTTTTCAATAAAAAAAAACTTTTTTAACTAAAAATAAGACCGAATAAATTTCGACTTCCAATCAAGGTAGCCACCAAAGTAGTGCATCGTATGAAGGAATTGATCAACCGGGTGCATCCGCATGACTATGTTCGGTTTGAGGATCCAGTTTCAGCTAGGTACTCTCTTGCAAGTCTGAGCTCTCTTATTTAGTTTTCAATATTCATTTTCCCATTTAGCTTGGAATGTAATGCACCAAATGAAATTACAGAAGCAAGGCAAAATTAAGAAATTAAGACCAAATAGTTTTTGCTACATTCTCAGGAGAGCATGGAAACGAGGGCTGTAAATAGTAGACTCGCTCAACATTCTCAATTTTTGCTTCCTAGTAGCTGCAGTAGCGGATTGGTGCCCGTCCTGGTCCAACCAACATCCGATAAAATAGAAAAATAATTTTTCTAGTTGCGGTCGCCCATCGGCAAGAATTGTCAAGATTCCCGAGTGTATTTCTGACATGAAATAGAGGAGACGATATAAAAATTCATTGGTCGTTCAGAGGCGGCTTAGTATAAACTGTAGGTCCCTCGCTTTTTTTTTAGAAAAAAATCAAGGGGCACGCCACAAATCGGCGGAGGAGATCGATCAAAAAACACTTCAGGAGTTAAAAAGGCCAATTATATAATAATATATATATTTGTATTCACAACCCGTTCGGTTCTATTCTCTTCTCTTTATTTCTTCACAAAGCGGAGACTTTTACAATCCAAAAGTGGTACGCATTCACTCTTTCATGCTCAGTTTTCTGGGCTCTTAGATCAACTGCGCGCTTAGCGTGTAACAGAGCTACAATAATTTGCGATAATTACAGTTTTTACTAACAGCCAACCGCTGCTGTTTATCACACAAAAACAATAACTGCTGCCATAATATTTAACATTTCACTTAATTTATTCAATTGCATTGAAAGAAGGCATAAAAATTTAATCAGAAACTATAAGGAAAGCAGACATTTCTATGAAAGCATGTCGAATTGCTAACCCATTCACACTCATTCAGAATTAATTATATATTTTATAGTCCGCAGAGGTGATTAATCAAATGAAAAAACATAATAAATATTTAAAATTGAAATTTATTTTACTTTCATTTTGCCCACAGATGGTTAGAGTTGCCCACAGTCACACAGCAAATTAACATTTTTTTTTTTTGAATTATTGAATTCGAGTAAGTTTCGTCTTAATTTAAATCTATAAATAAATGCATAAAAATAAATAAATTTTAGTTCCAGACAAAGCTTGAGGGTTTGGCATCATTTCTCTCAGTGATGCGTCCACATTTGGCTCATGTAAGGGAAAGCCATGAAATATACTAATTGGAAACTAATTATATGCATACATACATACAGACGAGTACATACATTTATATTCAAATTTGTATTAAGTTAATGATAATTTTATTAATTTACACATATCTTCAAGAAAAATGAAATGAGGATTTGATTTCGATTTCGGTCAACAAGCTTCGTGCTTTTATTGAAGAAAACCTTTTAATTTTTCGTCTGAGTTTATATTACGAACAGACTTATTCAGGAACAACGTTTGCAAATCGTGAAAATTTATTACCAAAATAAAAGTTTGGTTCGAGCAACACCTCGCGCCCTAAATCCACGTTCGGTCGACCCACTCGGTAAAGCGAGCAACTATGGATCAGATTCGCACCACGTTTATTCTAGCGGATAATGCGCATTCTCGGCGACGCAGTGCAGTATGTACCGAAGACACTTTTGCTGATAGTGAGCAGAGCGTCAAAGAAGACACGAATGAGTCCATCCGACTTGGCGTGCAGTAATTTAAGCAGTGCCCATCCACTTTAATGAAGATTTTGCGGAAGGACCTTGGTTGGTGGGCTTAAAAGTGCAACACGCGTAAGAATTTTAGCCGAAGGACCATTAAACGCGTCATACGTGCGGTAAAAAGATCCAAAAAGAGATGGCCATCAATATCAAATTCCTCGAGAAAATTAAATTCATTTTTGGTCGCATTTAGGGTGATAATAATACACAAGCCGTTGTTGAGATGCCGTTAAATTTTCAAAAGGCAGAGGAAATCATTGGTCCATATTACTTCAAAAATGAAGCCGGTCAGAATCTATAGTCAATGTGGAACGCTATAGAGCAATGGTTAGTGACTTTTTCGTGTCTAAGTTAGAAGACGTTACACGTTACCTTGACATCGATTTTTAAGCTGCCTTCGACAGCACGAAAAGTAGCGGGATTAAAGTCCTCTCTGGGCGAACAAAAATCAAGCTCTACAATTCGCTTATTATACACCTCCTACGATGAGGTCAAAAATGTCGTCGTCTGTTGAGTCGGCTTGGTGTGACTTGGTATTTCCAACTGGCGCCAAGCAGCGAAAAAAAGAAATTAATCGTGTACGCGGCGCCTACGATTAGAAGAAGAAGTTGGTCTGCACGGCTTTCAGTTCCAACAAGACGGCTATATAAAGTCGCTTGGCTACGCAGATGTGACTGACTCCTAAGGGCTTTATAATAAAGTCAAATTCTTGCCCATAATATTAAATGATATGCGTTACTTAAAACCACATACCTTAAAAAACACCCTTTATTTGGCTTCTGCATTTAATATGCATACAAATACACTCAAGCAAATTTAAATCATGGCTTATGATTATTATAATATAATTATTATTATGCTTTTGCGCAATTTAAAGGCCATGAAAGTAACACCATTTCGAATTTAATCTCTCAGCCTGAGAGCTTATGATTGAATAAATTACATGGTAGCTTTGATTTGCGCTGCTTTACATATCTAGTTTTTATTGTTGTGATATAAAAAAACTTTTCATACATAATTTTTATAGTTCAAATTCCAATTTGGAAAGTATTTTTACATTTTCAATAAAAACTAGTTTTTGTTGTAATGGCTGAGTTATGCGGCACTAGACTTAAGAACTTTCATTTACCTATTCTGTTCAATGAATGTAATGGGGTAGAAAAATTAATTTTAAATTAATTTATTCATGCAATAAAAAATAGTTTTTGTTTTTATTTTTAACTGTTTCAAAAATTGTAGAGTCCAAAAGAGGTCCTCAATAACGTTTGCCTAAAAGTAATGACAATTATAATCGACTCTATTTTATGTCTAAGTTTTCTAAGTAAGCTTCACTTAACCATAAGAAGCACAACAGTATATTAATAATAATATTTATTTATCTACATGAAGGTGACCAGAGCCAAATTCAAGGGGAGAAGTGTGGGTCTCTAGACGAATCAAATGGTACATCTTTTCTTCCTCCTTACTGTCGTTGGCACCCCTTTCACGATATTAACGCCCCATTCATCTCTTCTTTTCGCTGGTTGGCGCCAACGTAGTGGAGGTCTTCCTCCTTCTCTGCTTCCAGCAGCGGGTACTTCGGACGACATGATC